AGGGCTAAGAAATAACATTTTTTCTATCCACCATAACATGGTGACAATGTGATTCACATTTAGCTTTCGTTATATGATTACCTCAAAGGACTCCGGCATAAAGTTAGAAACTGAAATTTTCTTCCCCACAGATTTTATTGCTTATTATTAAATATATAGGGGAAGAAAAGACAATAAAAGCAAATTGTTTTCACATAAACTACTACATCAAAATTTACATCCACCAACGATGGAAACACGAGATAAATTGCTGGGACAATGAACAATAAGGAACATCCTTGAGTGCAAATCATGCACATTACATTTTCTTGGCATCCTCTTCAACGGGATCACGAAGAGTTCCAAACATCCAGTCCATCCATATTGTGTAATGACCATAATTATGGCGGTATGTTGTATGGTGAATGGTATGATAACCGGCACCCATTACAGGCCACACCTTACCATGTATGCAGTCATGAATATTAGCCGTCCATAAGGCTTCCACGAATATGAGCACTATGTGTGTAGTGAAATGCATTGGCACCAAGAAAAGAGCTACAACGTGTGGCACTGCCTGCAGTATTCCATCCAATGGGTGGAATGCCAATCCTGAATAACAGAACATGTTTAGCAATTAGCTTGAAAATGTACCAGATAAAACATAAAAGAAGCCATGACTCTCAAGAGGTCAAATTAGCTTCGATAGAGCATCAGAAATTACAACACACAACTAACCATAAAATTAACTGCTTAATATTTTTCTTTCCTCAATCCTGTAACAAGTTCTAGTTTCCAACAAAAGGAAAGGAGAAAATAACAACAAAACGGTTATCAAACGCTACTCCACTCTTTTCAACTAAACTGGATTTTGGCACACAGAAACAATTAAAAGGCAAGAGACGAAATTCCAATGTGTTCAGTTATTCCCTAGTCTAACCAAATACCTAAGTCAACACTCGACTCTCCTGACCACGAAACGAAATGATGCACCGACTGAAGACATGAATGTTAAAATACACATATTAATTTAATGTCCTCGTGACTAGCTTTTCAACGTTTTTAGTCATCACAAAGGAAACACTCACTTATGTTGCTCGGACTCTTCAAAAATGTCAAGGGGTTGCGTGTCGGATTAGCCAAAAGTAGTGTATTTTTGAAGAATCCGAGAATCAAAAGTGAAGAATCCGCGCAACTAAGACGCTCACTAATTCAACAAACTATCAATAAAGTATCACAGAGACACCTAATGGCTCCACGAGCTAGAAGTTGTTTTCAGAAATAAGCACCAATATGGTATGAGTAGACTTAAGAGCTTACCAGCAAATGGGGAAAGTGTGTTTTGCTTGTTGTAAATATGATGTGTAGCATGCAGATATTTATACAGAGGTTTTATGTCATGCAATAACTTGTGCATCCAGTAGATTCCAAACTCCACTATTACAAGATAAATAGCCGCATTGATGATGTAGGTAGGCCATCCAACATCACTTATTCTCGCAAAACATTTGGTCCATCCGTTTTCAATCATGTACTCAGAAAGTGATGGAAGGGCACAGTACCACGGCATAGCTTTCATAGCAACTGATATTTGCAACAGCATTGCTTGCTTTGATGGTATGGCATCTGCAATCAAACTGTTCATCAGCCCATATATAATTTCCTCTTTTTAACCAAACGGGAGAAAATACAAAACATTAATTACTCTTTATCTTTATCGAATCGTAAAAACCTAGAATTGTTAAATTCATCTGAGGTATTGACATCCCTAGTTTGAACTAACGGGACCACAAATATACACAAGGAGGTGGCCTACTGTCAATCAGGTGGGTTGAGTAAGAATAACGTCTCAGGTTCAAATACCAACAGAGACAAAACACTAGGTGATTTCTTCTCGTATTTTCTAGTCAGAGTTACTGATACATGATAGTTTCAGATCCACAGTAATTGCTCTACATATCAATACACTATAAAATGGGAATATGCTTCTTACTCTTTACCTACTTCAAATACAGTAGCACCCAAAAAATGCCAAAATATTCAAATCAAAAGAGTGAATATTCAGAATCCAACCTTCACAAGCGTTACTAAAACAGTCAACGTAATTCATTAACTTGAAAATTTCCAATAATGCAAAGAAATCATCTATACACAAAAAATAAATAAATAAAAAAACTTTCACGGGAGAAAAAGGGAAAAAAGAAATCAATACCTTTGGGAATATAGACATTGCGTTTCAAGTGATAAATATAGAAGCACCAGAGGAAACCGGAGATGAAGTAAAGTAAAACACCGCCAATGTAGTTACGGAGCCATCCTTGAAGCATATGAGGAAGTGGTCCCCACCATGATTCCGGCAAGAATGTACCCAAAACCAGACGGTTGTAAAACGATGTCTCCTCCACGAATAGCTTCAAGTAATCCTCCATCTCCGACGGTATACTAGGTAAAAGAGAAATATGTCCGTCTCGGGTCGGGTTTTACCAGACTCCGGCGGCGATGGTCCGCCGGAAAAGGAGGAACTATGGAGTGAAGATAGAGAGGAAAACAAAGAGGGGCTAGTGCGGTAACACAATATATGCATGTGTGGCAGGCTGTATTTAATGAAAATTGATTCCATTTTGGACTACTACTCCCACGTGTTGTGTGGTGAGCTAAACTGGCAAAAGATTCTAATAAGATCGTTCGTTTGATTTTATTTGTTTAATATTTTTAAAAATATGATAGATTTCACATTTTATTTTTATCATTCAATCACTTTTTTTTTAGAGTAATATTTCATACATTTATTAATAATTATGTAATAATAAATCGAGAAAATATTACTGATAACAATAATATATTTAATATAATCTTATCATGCTTTATTAATTTTAATCCTTAGTTTGAATTCACCTTGTCATGTTTCATTAATCTAGATACTATTGAAAATCGAGTAGATATATATAAAAAAGTTAGACACAAAATTAACTTTGATATTAGCTAAAATTGTGATATGTATACATCTAACATTAAGCTATTAAGTGATTTTCATAAACAAATGTATCAAACTTTTAAGAAAATATAAACAGTTATGGAATTTAAGCAATAACTTATGTCCATTTTACTAAAACGATATAACTAGATGAAAGTTTGTTTGTGTTATTCCTTTAAACTTGTGTTGAACTAACCAGCCACTTGTTGCAGTATATTGATGTCACAATAATTAATTTTGAAGGGGGGAAACTCGACTACATTAAAAAAATTCAAAAATTAAAATTTTGTCTGTTTTATTATATGGTTATTATGGCCTTCATAAGTTTGGCTTGTTCTACTTTGTCTTTTTTTTTTTTTTTTGTTGGTTTTATTATCATCTCTATGATTAATCATTATGTGGTCTTTCTCCTTTCCCCTCTGTTAATGCACATTCGTTCTATGGAAATAGTATCAAAGAGATTATAGTTTGAGCTTTAATGTAATATATATTATGAGATTTAGTTTAGCAATCTATCATATCAGTCTAATGAAACAATATTTCAACATTCACAAAATATTAAATAGTGCATACATCATTATTTTGTAGATTCAATTTACAAAATTAAATTAAATATATTATATGATATTAATTTTCATATTTCTCATGTTACCTATGCTATGGATCTAAACCTTCTTATCAAGAAATATCTATTATTTTGCGAAGATTGAAACTAGCTGGCCGGCCAAAGAGAATTTATTTATTTATTTATTTATTTGGCTGAGGGGCTATAAAATCACTCTCTCCGTTGTTATTTTCCTCGTGGTCCTTTGTTTTTTAGCCTAAATAGACATTTCATGCCGCTACTTGAAATGTTAGGTAGTTCTACTCGTATAGTTGTTAGGATCGAATTCACACACACTTGATAAATGAAAAATATAAGAATTTTTGAGAGAGAGATGAGAGATCTAGAGAGAGAAATTAATAGTTCGTGGTAATATCCGTGAATAAACTTCCACGGCGGTGAAGTATATATTAATAATTCAGAGTATATTTAGTTACAGAAATATTAATCAAGCTCCACAACTTAACAATAGCCTAAAAAGTAAACGTGATCTAATGGTTTGTAATTTTTTTCTAAAAAATAAAAAATCTTAGTGGTGAATTAAATTAAAATCAAGCATAACAGAAATAATGCTCTTTAATCTTTTCCTTTCTATCTTTTTTTTCCCTTCGTTTGTTTAGTTTGTTACTAAATTTATTTAGACACTTAAATTCAATCTATTTCAATTGAATATTTTAACTATATGATTAAAAAAAGTTTATTAGATATTTTAACTTTAATATTTTGAAAATATATGGGTTTTTACATGTTTATTAAGTAGTTCAATTTATCATAACATCTTTTAATTATATGTATAAAATCTCAGTATTAAATTATCAAGCTTGTTCCAATCAGAATTAATATGTATAGTTAAAGAAATAACATATTTTTATATAATTTACTTAATTATAATAATAAATACTTAAAAAACATTTTAATAAACCTATATAATGTATCCCTTTGGATTTTGTGTGCATGTGAAGGGAGTTGGAGCAGGTTTTTCTTTTAATTAAATACTCATGTTGTCCTAATAATTAATAAATATAAATAGGAGACAAAGTAAGGGAGTACCACGTATCATGTTGTTTGTCTTTTCTATGTCAATTAAATTCATATTTTTAAGTATAATAATGCTGAAAAATAAAATAAGAAAAATATAGTTATTTATACGTTAATTTTATGAAATAACAAATATTAAAAATTATATATTTTTTGTATAAACGATATATAAATAGAAATTTGTATAGAAATAAATAATCTTCACATGAAATGTCATACGCAACGTTAGATATGCGATATTTTTTTATGGTTAATTTTGTTTAACAGTAACTTATTAACTCTATTTATCTTGATCTATTTAAATTTAACCTAATCTATTCATTCATAGATATATCGATTATAATAAAAATCTATTTACTTATACAAAAAATGTTCACTGTATGACAAATGAGTGGATCATGAAATTACAAGGCCCGTGTTATGTTGTATCCTGGCCCATTCCCGTCAGTAGACCCAAAGACCCGAATAAATTGCCACAGAGCGAAGCGGGTCAGGGTCGGGTCTGGAGCTGTTTCAATGGAAGAGGACGACGGGAGGAGAGAAGCTGCGATAGCATCAGTACCATCTCTACAACCCAATTTCACCAATAAAAATGGTGTCAACAATGCTCAAGTTTCCAAATTTCAAGTAATCTCTTTCTCGCCTTATTTCATACGTTTATAGAACCTAGTTTTCTTCTTGTTTTTCATTCATAAATAAAGGTAAACAAAATTTCTCTATCTAATGAAGTAGCAGTAATTATGATACTTTGAGTTTAGGAAATGGAATGAAATTCTCCGGAATAGAGCAAAATGATTATAGAGGATTTGTTATATGAGAGTTTTGGATCTCCCAGTTGTTGCACTAGTGACCTACATTCATAGAGCTATACTAAGATTTATCGCTGATAAAATTTATTGAGTCTTTGGAGATTTCTAGAGTCATCAATTCGAATAACAGTTAATAATTTTGTGAGAGTTTTAGTACTATTCTGGAATATCCTTCGTGAAGCCTAGCATCCGATCACCTCTATTATTACATATAACTCCCCTACATTACCTTGTACACCAGGGCTATCTATGGAAGAACAATCAATATTGAGATTGAGGCGTAGTTGATTGAATATGTCGAGGAAAACCAAGAATTGTAATTGGTAGTTTATCCAAGCTATATTAGAGGTTAAGGTGTGTGAGTTTTCGAGTGGAGTTGTAAAGCAATATACTTTGTGGTGCTTTTCAAGGATGTTTGGTTGGTTCTAACAAATAACCTTTGTGGTTGGGTGAATTGGTAATTTCTAACTAATATCATCGATTCATTGTAGGTTGATGTCTTCTGTCGTTGACATCAACCTACAATGAAAAAGCATAGCACACCACATACCATGTGACTTTCTAGCCTATGATTCAGCAAGCAACCCAAACTGTGGATCCTTACAAACCACATGTATATTCGAAAGGATGCTGAGCTATCAGTGTCATATGTTCCACATGTCCAATGTACACGTTTCCTAACAGTAATATCTAAAGCATGAGTTACAAGTTGGAAAACATTGAGTTGTTATTCCGAGAACACTAGAATTAATTGAAGGGCATCTGCCTCACGTAAGAAGTATTAGGTCCACCCGTGCACACTATTATTTACAAGCTTTATGTAACACGTCCAGTTAAGTATTTGCGAGCTTTTTCAGAATATGTAACTATGTAAAAACATGTCATGTTATTATGCTTAGAATGGTATGAGTAGCAGTTGGGCACTTTTACAGTTCTCAATCTTTATCCACGTATATGTTGATGTTTCAATCTGTGATCCCTTAAACATTTTCTAGAAGTCTTGGAGTAAAGGTTGCTTTAATTTTGGACTGTATAGTTGGATACATAGTTACGAGATGGTAAAATCGGTTTCAAAACTTAGAATACTGAGGTATAGGCTAGCAACAACATTGATTATATGTTAGACAAAGGAAATTCAAAACTTGCTTGCTGAGCTACGGGTTGGGGACTACATTTATTGAGTTTATGACATTCGGATATATAGATATGTGTGCTTAGTTGTTTTAGCTTTTTCTTCTTAGTTTGTCTGGATTGATTTTTCAATATCATGTTCTTTGGTTTGCCAGGAGTTGCATCGAAGACGCTTAAAAATAAAAGCAAAATCTAAGGTCAAGGATAAAACGAAAGGTATGTAGTTTGATTCTTCAGCACTCTGTTTACATTTTCAATGATTCTTTTCCTTTTTTGTATTGTTTACTTTTTCTATTGGAAGTGAATTTCTAGTTAACATTTTGATGAGGAGAGGTTTTCAGGAACTGTTGTCTCCACTAAAAAGTATAATGGTGAAGATGTCAATGCTAAATGCAAGGCAATCATGGATGAAAAATCAATAGAAACAGCTAAAGATGTGAGAATTACTTTGTCAATAAGCAGTACAACAGACCTTTCATCCTCTCAAGAAGACAACACATTGTCAAAAAAGCGGCAGAAGTTGCATTGGGGGTATGACCTTTCAAAATGTTGGCAATCATTATTTTTAGAAAAAACTATTAGATTGTGTCCCCCATCTAGAAAAAAAAGAGTAGGCTCAAGCACCTTTAGTGTTGTATTTGGTTGGTTATGTTTCTTTCTTTCTGATATTTTGATTTTGCATACCGTATGTTCTTATGAATCGTGCACTTCTCTACCTACTGTAGGCTCGACACCAAGGAGAGATGGGAAAGGAAATCCAATATGTAGAGATATCAGCATCTGAATATGGAATGCTTCTATCTTGCCCTTTTACTTATGAGGAGATACTAAGTCTCGGGCTCAGGCGTGTAGAGCAAACCAACCAATTACTGATAAATAACCCTTTTACTTGTAAATGTATTTGTTAAGTAGTACTAATATCAATTTACTACGGTTAAGTGATTTAATTAATTATTATATATATGAATTCTCAATGATAGTTATATATTTATTGATGATTTGGCGTTAACACCAGATGCAAATAGAATCTTTACCATCATTGCATTTCCTGATTTACGCTACGAAAATTAATTACCAATTCATACGGGTAGATGGAAGTGATAAATACATGATTATCATCTTGCACACCTACGGTTTAACTGCATTCCATAATAATTAACAGCTGAAGATGAGTTCCGAAATACTCAATTATACGCGGATCATCTTCCATAACAGTTGCATGTTTTTACAATGTCCCATGATTCATGAAGCCGGTGTGTAAGAAAATCAAAGAGATAGCTGAAGGTAAGTGATACAACTCCAGTCAGGACCCGGAGAATCTCTTCAAAATCCAGACCCACTGGAAGGCGGAAGCTGAAATTACTCTCAGCTGTTCATGCGGTACCACTCAAATTGCTGGACTTAACTCACGTTCTATCTCCTCCAGTGACCGCCCCTTTGTCTCCACGACGTTACCAGTTATATATACGACAGCAACAAGACAAGAGAGTGCAAATCCCATGTACACCGTACTGATACCAAATTTAGTTACAATGCTCAAGAAGTACAGGCCAATAAAGAAGTTCATTATCTGTTCAAGGAGAAATACGAGTTAGAAACAAAGTAAACATGGAGTGAATGAGCCTTCAATTAATCTCACAGTGCTGCAAATACCACCACAATGAAGGGCAATAAATCAATTCCTACCTTTTCATAGTTATCTTTCTAAAGCTCATGCCGGGAACATAGTACCAATCAAAAGCAAAAAATACTTCTCAAACAAAAGAAGTAAACAATATGAGCACCCTCACATGTCATGTTACCCAAGAGGCGTGGCATTGAGAAACATGCTCAAAAGACATATGAGCATATTCTGTCAGCACACATTTCAGCTTATTGCGATTTTAGGAATTTGGCATAACAGTTTGCTTCCAGTTAATCATGGAACGCCATAAATGATGTAGTTATAGCCTTTTATTCCTTCCCCACCCCCCACCCCCCACCCCCACCCAAAAAAAAAAAAAGCAAGGAAACATAGACAGTTAGCAGCAAAAAGGGTACTACGGTTTCCAAGCGCAAACTCACCCAATGTACCCCCAAAGAGAGAGCCACTGCTTTTGCCCTAATTCTGGAAGCAAATATTTCTGGAAGTAGAAGAGCAGGCACAGGACCAGCACCAAGTGAAAAGGACAACACATAGCTGCAGACAAAAACGTAGCCAGAAAATATATATATTTCATTCAATTTGTTACAAAAAAAAATCATTTGCATTGACATAGGTGAAAAAGAAGCTGGCCTAAACGGAAGAAATTGCTTCGGTGGAAAAAAGGAAGTAACGATCCAACCAGCAGGGAAGCACGTGATACTTACAGGACAGTACCAAGAACAGCCAGTGTGCCAGAATATGGAGTCAGGACCTTCCAAGTGAATGACAAGGAAAGCAACATCATTGATGCAGCCTGTGAAAAGAGAATACGATGAGAATCGGAAACAAAATGGATAGAACAAGCTAAAAATATATCAAGTCGGAAACAAGCCAAAAATCAGGACAATAAACACATAATGTGCCCTCAGGCTCATCATACGCATGCCTGGGTTGCAGCTAAGGGACCATCTAAGCATTGACAACTGGATGCAACTGGATGCATAAGAGCATGAGTTCAACTGCCAAAGATAATTAGGATAAGATGGTGAAAGTCTCAGGCAAGCTATCCCAAAGAGCTTCATGTTGGAATTCTCTCTGCTTGATGATTATAGTTGGGGAATATTTCAAAGAACTCCCTTCAAATTTACCTTTATACCACTAACTTCTCTTCTGGTTTAGATATTACATCTGGTTTAGATATTACACACACTCCCTAATTTGATTTTTTCATAATGAAACTTGTCTAAATGATAAAAGATACTTAAACTTTTCCAGAAATGATCTTCTGTAATAATAATTATTGAATGGAATTTTTTCCAAAAGTACTCTTCAGAAAGTTTCACAAATTCTCAGAAAATCACTTCATTTGGAAAATTTTAACATAGAAAGTGATCAACCTTTGTAATATTCATCTACGCTAACCTTCAAGCAAGTGATTTTAAGGTATTGCTCTAGGCAAGGTTTAGGTTTTCAATCTCTACTGCGTAAATGATTTGCATCACATTATAACAGGATATGGCTTTGCTACTTGCTAGTGCTAGAGATAGATAGAATTTCTGGAAATACAAGGTCATTTAACAAGCATATATTTGCTTGTTTCTTTTCCCATGAATATTTTGCTGTCTTTTCATATGCATATACATGTGTTTGTGCATCCAAATGCCTACTAAAACCTTCAAATAGAATACATATGTGTAATTAATCACCTAAAAGTGAAAATATCACATATTTCTCAAAGGATTAACCTCAATTCAGTTGCAAGTTGTAAATTTTCTTCGACATAGTAAACTCCATCTAGGACTAAAAATGACTTACCATTCCAGTATAGCTTATGAGCAAGAGACTCTTCCTTCCTTGTTTGTCCATCAAAGAGGATGCCACCGTTGTCCCTGGATGAATACGTATACAATTAGTAAAATATATTCTATAGCCATAGATGTTACCAAAAACCTTGAGGAGAAAACTAACCAAAGACGTTGGCTGCTCCAACCAGAGCACTGGCTGCTACATCAGATGTAATTCCAGCGCTTCGGAACACGGCAGTGGAATAATAGACAACTGCATTTATCCCAGCCAACTGCTGCAAAAAGAACATAGCTGCACCAATGCTAACAACTGCAATGACGACAACAATTAGACCATTTTGGTTGTACAACATGGTACAGAAATATCAGGAGCTCAAAATATCACATATATTTGGAATGATGGAATGAGTGACCATAGACTGATAATAGCATATTAAGAAAACACTCAAGTAGAGAAATATGTGCTCACAAGCAAAAATCAGACAGGCTTTTATTATTTGTAGAGCAAATTAAATTGTAAGTAACAGTTCTCTTCCAAGCAGGAAAATTATGAAGGTTACAAATTTATTTATTTATTTGAAATTGGTACTATTATAATCCTCAACATTAAGGGTATGCTGTCCTCAGCATTAAGGATATGCTGGCCTGGCTCCAAAAATTTTTTACAGAAAGATATGGACTCTAGATTTACAATACGTTAAAAATCTATAAGATCATCTACTTCCTCTATACAATTCTCTTTACACCAAAAAATAGAGAAACTATGCAATTCCATTTCACATCATGAATGGACTTAACTTATCTTCAAAGTATCTCTCATTGTTCTACGTATTTGGACCAATAAAAAAATAAAGAATAATAATAACAAACAAAGTTGATTAAAAAGTAAAATGGGAACACGTACCAGACAAAACTCTATGCTTTGGTGATTATCAAGATTTTGGAACTTAAGGAAAATAATTGACATGATTTTCTTTATTGCAGCAAGAGCAAAACTACACACCACTATCCGAAATTCCTAATAATGATGGCGTATGATAACACCCAAAGGAAAAGAAATTTAAATTTGTTCTTAAACAATATATAGGGAAGTGTTGGACCTAAGGATATAAGAACTGAGCTTTAGACGCATAAGACATGCATCATCAATATTTATTATCTAGAATACTGATGATCAAAGATATACCTTTCCTATAACGGCTACTAAATAGATCAAGCCACCCAGCATCTGGTTCTGAAGAACCCTGGGCAGAAGCTTCCAAATCACCCATAACCTCAGCAACTTTTTCTTTACCATATAGCCTTTTAATAGATGTCTCAGCTTCAGATATTCTCCCTTGCTGCAAGATAGAATTGGATAGTTTAAGACAAAAAGTCTCTGACATAGATTGTAGCTGTAGACAGGATATCCATAATGAAGATTTCAAACTAGAAAAGAAAGATCTCATGAGAAACCTGATAGAGCCACCGAGGACTTTCGGGAGAAAATACCATTCCTATTGCAAGTAAAACAGATGGAATAAGTGCGAGACCAAACATTGTTCTCCACCTGACATATGAAATGGAGACATGTAACTTAATGGATTTAAACACAAATATTTAAGCATTAACACGAAAACTGCGAAGGTTGGGAAATTCCATGCTCGTTAGAGTTTCTGAAGTCTGGCAACTACTAGTTGTAGTACCTTAATCATTTGTGAACAAGTTAGATGGAAAAGTATCATCTAGAAATGCCAATAAGACATAGTAGTCATTCAAACGGCAGATGAGAGATATGGAAGTAGAATAAGCAATAAACCCAGAAACAAGCAAATAAGTAAATCAAATAACATGAAGGGGTAATCCTGTGAGGTCCCACTTGCTCTGGCGTCAATTAGAAAAGTTAAAAGTCAAGGTACACAACATGATTTTAATTCTTCCCAATAGCATAAACAAAGTTGATTAGAGAAAATATTCCCTATAGTTCTTTCCAATACAATCAAAACGGTTGATTAGAGAAAATATTCCCTAAGCATGAACAGTTTTGGCATCTGGGACATTGAAAAGGATACTAAATGTCAAAACTACAGAAACAGAGTATTGCTATTTGCTTTAGAACCCAAAAGCTGGAGTACAACACTCCTAATAGAAATTAAACATTAATCATTTTACTTCAAATTATTTCTCAAGGACAAACAAACTCAAGTCACAATGAAATTCCCTGATGAAAAAAAAATCATAAAATCAATGTAAAACTTTTAAAGATTGAAGAAAATAGATAATAAGCAAACCTGAGTACTTAATTAATTTTAAAACAATTGAACTCTGCCAGGTAGCTTATATAAGGGCAAACAAAGACATCTACAACTTTCATCAAAGAACCGAATAAATAAACTTAAGCTTAACTGACCTCACCTCACCACTGTATGAAATTAGAGAAATACACCAGTAATTCAACTAAAGTGATAATTGTATTTAAGTTGTAAATTATTAATAGAAGATTCATGTACTACAAAAAACGAAAAAATAAGCAGACTAGGGAATTAGGCACCAAGGTGCTAAATTCTGACATCTACCACCACTTTAATCTCAAACTACTCCAGAATTATGTTAGGACCACCAAATGGGTACCCTATTGGTTCTGGACTAATCAGGTCTAGATAAAACCATTCATGACATCTTGTTGGAATCTTCTTTTGCCAAAATCTTTTGAAAGGCCTTCGGATAAAATCATGTACCAATCATTTAAAAGTTACAAAACTCTAAATTGTTTTCTGCTATGAGCATACGTAATGAGAAATTACCATGAAGGATTTCCAGACAAAGGCAATCCAGCCACTAGTGCAACAAGAATTCCAATGCAAATGAATAGCTGATTGACCGTTCCCAGTGTGCCGCGAATTTCCGTGGGTGAGATCTAAGCACCGAAAGTTTGTTAGGATGCTATGAAACACGAAAGTACAACCTTTGAATACTGTCTAAAAAGGTGATGTAACTTTGAGTGAGATATACACCTCAGATATGTAAAGTGGCACAATAGCAGATGAGATGCCAATGCCAATTCCAGTAAGTAAGCGTCCAATGATCATAGCCTGAACACTCTGGGCAGTGGTACTGAAAGTTTTGACATCATATTAGATGCTTGTATCAATGGTATTGACCTGATATTGTATCTCTGACTATGGTAAGGTACATACCATAGAAACGCACCAACTGAAAGTGGAATTGCATCCAATATAAATGTCTTTGTTCGGCCAAATTTATCAGCCAGAGCTCCACCAGTAAATGAACCAACAAAGGCACCAGCAAGAACTGTGCTAACAATCCATCCTAACAAAAGAAATCAAATAAAAGATTGGTCCACCTATATCTAGATAATTAACCAAAGGAAGTGAACTGTAAGAAATAGGACATCTGAACAAGGCTTCCAAAAGATCTTTTAACCCAACATAGCCAAAACATCAACTCTGTGACAGAGCAAAGGCTTCATAAAAAGCTGACCCTTTCTCCAGCAGCTCAGAAACCAGAAAAATAGGATAGTAATCAATTAAAGCTATATTTCACATAAAAAACCATCCAATAAAACTTGCCTTGTATAACAGTGTTCTCGGCAATCCCAAGATCCTTAGCTAGGTACTCAAGGGCACCATTCACCACCCTGAACCAGAAAAATGACGGTTATCATGGAACTTAATAGCACAATATAAAACAGAGGGTTACATGGATAAACTGCAGGGCTTGGAATGTTTATGTACCTGAACTAAAAATGCTTATGGCTTAGAATTTAGAAAATGCCTGAACAAGAAATGTTTGGTCTAGTTTGTTACCAGTTTCAAAATAAAGAAATGTTTGGTCCAGTCTGACCCAAAGATTGAGCAGACAGGTAACCAAAACTGAACTAATTCATCTATTATTCACTTTCTAAAGTATGGTGGTAGAAACACTCCCCTAACCCATAATAACTGTGAACTGTCACATTCCGCTTTCGGTGGATTCTCCAAGAGTTATGTCAACTTTATTAAGAAGCAACTTTTATCATTCAACTTCGCCATATTTTCAGTAAGTTGTTATTAAAAAGGTATCAGGGCCTACTTTAAAGTTCTGAAAGTTGTTTGCCTCTCTTTTTAGGCCCAATTTCTTATTTATATAAAACAAACTTCAGTTCTTGGTGAGAAGAAAATTCAGAAAATTGATAGGGAATGCAAACTACAAACAAAACTTTGAGTTTCATTCATGAGAAAACAAAATATAGAATCAACAAATATTTAGCTTATCCAATCAAACAGTTGAGCTGGCAACCAGGACCAACTAAGCAAATACTATGATTGCACTTTCATTGGTTAAGGTTTGGGTCCAAACCAGCATTAATAGTCTAATTCCAACTAGTCTGTAAAACAGAATAAACCTGTGGACATACCTATGAAATGCATAAACATGTTGATGGAGAGACACGATGAGGTGGGCATAATTACCAAAAACCGAACAAAAGTGATTCGGTTCTTCAGTTCTTTTGGTTTGGTTCTCTGTTTTAGGATTCAGTATTTCGGTGCTCCGAAGAACCAAAGTTTAATAATATAAGTTAATTTTTTTATAATTTGCTTTTATTTGGTTTCTCAAATAAAAAGAAGAAAATGACTAAACCAAAAGACTTCTCTTTTGTTTTGTTTATATACATGCACATTCACCGATTCAACCACTTTCCAGTTCAGCTGGTTGAATGATCGCTCTCAAAGTCATTTTGCAAGTCACTTCAGTGTTCCTCTGCCCCAAGCTGATGAACAAAGTAAGGATGAAGAGCATATTTTTGCAAATTAGCTGAAGGGGACTTGATAAGTTACTACTCCTCTTGACAATAACCAAAATAGACAATTATTTTTTGTGTATTTTATTTCATTAATTTTAAGATTTACTGAACATAGTGTGGATAGAAATCACTGGCTTCATTTTGGATCAAAAAGAAGATATCTAATTATGTTACGGACGAAACTATGAAAACATTCATAAATTAATTTTTTAGAAAATTAATGATGTGGCTTTATATCTATATAAATCAAACAAGCCTACATTAGTTGTCTTTGCGTTGGGACGACATAGTTGACATTTTTCTAATTTATTCGCGAGATATATTTATTGTTTCTTATTGTTGACATTCTTCATAAATACCCAAAAAAACAAATTTTAAAAATTGAATTGAACCGAACCAAACCAAAGTAGTTTGGTTCAGTATTTCGGTTTACACTATTAAAAAACCGAAAAACCTAACTGAAGAACTGAATACCCACCCCCCTTAGACTCAGGCAATTATGATAACATATGTAAGATAAAATACCAGTAAATGAATGTTCTTCAATCATATAATGTCATACCCTAGGTGATATCCAAATAAAATTGCTGCCAGACAAGCTACACCCACATAGGGAAGTACTGATCCAGATGATTGGCCTTGAACTTTGAGAGGTGCTGCATCCTCAATATCCTCTCCTGCCACGCAACAATAGACGCCCTTGTTAGTAAGTTTCATGCATCATGCAGGACCTTTGTTGTTATCCTATCCAAAGAGAGGCAGTCAAGTTGCAGCTTATTTAAGTTTCAATAGTATTCTTTGAACAACATACTCGGCTGATGCTTAATCCACATGACAAAACAATGAAAAATGTTCTTTTTTTAAAAATAAAATCTAAGATTTATCTACTCGAACAGAAAGCTCAGGTGAAAAGGAGAAGTTTAGGTTCATGTTTTTTCTGGAAATGAGATCCAGAACTAAGAAAGGTAAGAGAGAAAAAGAAAGACTTTTCACTTGGTTCCCACCCATATGAGAAAAGTTAATAATCTTTTACTATTGTCCAAGCACTATGTCCATCCACCGGATGTGTCCTTTCTCACTTGGAACCTGCATGCAGTCCAATTCCTAAGTGACCATTCTCACCAAATTACAACTAACCATACCCCCATGCCAGTTGTGCAGTACCAAAGCAACTTCGCACCCAACTATTATCCACTTCTAGTCTCCCCTTCCTTTACCCTTTACCAAATCACAAATGTGGTGATATACTGTCATAGTAGACAAAAGGGAACCAGAAATTCCAGACTACCAGTTAACAGTTTTTAGCCACCTTATGTTAGCACAATAGCAGAATTTTAATACTCCTTCGCATGCAAAAGCAGAAACCAAACCAGCGTGGAACAGTACCACAAAAATATCTGTAATGAAGACAGTAATGAATTTCCTCACATTGTAATCCAATAGAGTGAATCCTACAGTCAATATACTGAGACAAGATTAAACTTAACCCTAAACTCATTAAGGAAGAAAATTACATCTCTCTAAACAGGTGCATACTCTAAAAACAATACCAAACAGATTTTTATCACGGCATAAGGAAATTCGGAATTACACACCCCCAAAACAATCAACAAAATATACCTCTCTCTATATATAAATCCTCTGTATCAAGCTATAAAGTTGAATCAGTATATAAACATGTACCAGCAGCTCGAACTCTGTGTGATCTGGCCTTCGCGGACGAACCGAAGACACTTTGAACAGTCCTCCTAGCACGGCCAAGTTCGATTCCCATTGAAGCAGAATCCATACTTACTCCGAAGCAACTGCCCGTCATCCGAAGACTTTTACCAGCTAAAGTCCTACTACGCAAATCACTAACCCCTTGCAAAATCCTTCGATTTTGAAGGCCAAATGCTGTGTTGCCTTTGACTGTGAAAGTTGAAGCTTGCATTTTGAAAGCCTTTTATGCTAAGCACCTATGAAAAAAAGGTACATATAACGGAAAAGTCAACAACATAAAAAAAGTAGTAATAAATAAAGCAATACACAAAACGCCCACACTCTACACTACTCTATCATCGAAACACCGTCTCATTTCATCATCCACACTACAGTTCGACATAAATCGGAAGTCAACAACAGATTTGAAGCAAAATAGGTCTCAATTCGCATTCCAAAGAGCTGATTATATGAAGAAATCAAACAAAATCGCAACGAGATTGAAAATGATGGGAAAAAAAATCAAATCAAGAAGTGGAATAAATACAGTGAAATTATGCAAAGTAGAGTGTTGAAGGTGAGAGATTATAGAGTTGCTAACTGTATCCTCTTCGATGAATGTTCTTCTTTGTTGCTTTATCGTAAAATTACAGCAGAATTTGCATTGGGAGGTTCGATGAATTCGAAGAGAGCTGAGAGAATTGTGATGGAGAGAACTGTTCGCGTACTTTTTATATTAACTGATCGCTTACTAGTTTACCAACGAAGTTGATCGACAATTCAATAATTTTAAAAAGTAACTTAGCATTGTTTCTTTCTATTTTGTCTATTCTAATAATAAGTAATATTTTGATTTATAAATTATAAAATTTAATTTATTTTTTTTTTTTTGCTTATTTTGATAATATTTAAGATCAGGTTAGGACGGAGAGAGTATATGATAAGTTATTATTTAGAGAATATGCAAAAGCATAAAACTATGATGTACACTTTCAATAATTAGCATATTTATGTCATAAATAAATTTGTACTTAATGTAAGTAATAGTATTTAAGTATGGTTAGAAAAGTTAAATTTATAAATATTTTAATCTATCACATAACATGACCTTAATTTTTTATAAAAACATTAATAAAAAATTGAATTTACCGTTGAAAACAATTCTAAAAATAATAAAAGATTTCGATATTTGTCATTAAAAATTATAAATAGTCATAGATTTAATTATTTTTTTCCTTAGAAGAGAAAATAGGAAGAGTTTTATGGATAGAATGCAGATGGATTGCAGATTAGATTTGGGTTACGTGGGAGATTACATTACAATTTAGACGGGCCCGCACGTGACCTGTTCTCTGACAATCTCATTATTCCTTGTTAAATAACTGCTCTATACACCTCATCTGTGGCCCAGGGCTCGGCCCGCTAATTCTATGGGCCGTAGAACTAATTCAAGACATACGGGACCATATAAATCTTCAGTTTTGGCGTCCATTTTTAGTAAAATGTAATTCTTTAGTCTTATTATCCAGGTGTTTGTATTCAGTTTTTCGATTTGATTGAATATTATTTGATTTAAACTTTTTATTTTTAATTTTAAAGAAGTATAATTTAATCTAAACCAAAATAAGTTTGATTTGATTTGATTTTTTTTTTTGGTTTGTATTTTTTTGATTTAGTTAATTGGTTATGTTAATAATTAGAAACATAATAAAAGTTAATCGATTAGATTTTCCCATTTTCTTTAAATACCATCATGCAATTTCACAGAAAGGTGAGCTCGACATCAAAATCTTTTATCAATAAATTAAAAGTTTAGATAGTCAATTCACTGAAAATTTAGATAGTCAATTCATTGAATTATAAAAACTTCATGTCTAAGATATTTGCATGCTCTAACAAGAAAAATAATGCATTTAGTGGTGGTGCATAATTGACTTTGAAGTGGCTAATATATGAGCTTTTCGTTGCAGTCAACTATTATTATAAGAGGAATTGTAATTATGATTCATCTAATTAAGTAGTATCATAGAAAAACGTAGCGTGATAAATGAAGTTATTTTTTTTTTAATCAGAGATTTTGGCTTTAAAATTTGGATGTGATTTTTTTTTTGATAAGAGAAATCTAAATGATTGCTACATTATATAAATCTAAATTAATCAAATTCTAATATAAATATTGAACTTGAAATGATATCTTCCGGAAAAAAAAGAGAATATTATAGTAAGAATTGAAATTTTAACTGAGAATTTTATTGAAACTTGCACAGGTAACCTAGCATATTCATACCCAAGTAGAGCTATCAATTCTCATTTATATTTTACCAACCCGCTCATTATTCATATGCCTATTGCCTTTGCATTTAAACGGTTAGCTGAGTGACATTAAAATATGAATGGAATGTTGGTTGAGCTACGTCATTCAAAATCGAATTGAATATAATAGTTCCAATCGAAAAAAGTTATTGCTTTAATGGTTATGAGTTATTGATTTAATAGTTTTTGATTAAAAAAATTAGATCGAGTTATTAATAATTTGATAGTAAATTAATAATTATATTTAGACTATTCAATGTATAAAATTATTACTTGGGATTTAATTGCATGCTTTTGCCTCAAACTCTCTGTGATTTTATAAGACGTCTTTTAATATTTGTTAGCTCATGTGCATGATTCATTTTGTCTGTTAGTAACAAATCGTCATCTAGAAAAATCTCAATGAAATCTTATCGGCTAAATCAATTACAATTAATAATCAATATACAAATGATTTAATAATAGTTTGACATGTTTACAAATCAATAACCTATAAGTCAAATCAATAGGATTCAAAACAAAAACTAATTAATAAATCTTAAATCGATTAAACTCAATTTTAACTCATAATAAAAAGATATTAAAAATATGTAAAATATAATTTCAAGATACAAGCAACATTAAACGCAAATTAACGCAAGTAAATAAATGTTACTGCTTGTTATCAGTTTATTAAATAAAATTTAGAATTTGGAACAAGTCCCGAAGGGAGAAAACATTAGAGAGAGCTAGCGTGCTTTGATAGGCATAAGAAAAGGTACCCACGATATTTTCCTCGTTTGATTTTATTAAATTTAATATTTTAAAAAATACTTTTATATGATAAATAGTATTTAATAATATTTTTGACAGATATTATTATAATAAATATTTTAAGATAATAGAGATAAAGTATAATTCATCACGGCAACTTAAATAACATCCACAGACTTCTTTTTTTTTTTTTAAAAAAAGAAATTTAAAGAAAAAAAAGATAAAATCATTGAGTTGTTTTGAGCTAAAAGACAGTAAGAAATGTCGTAATAGAATAGAACTTTAAACCCTCAATTAGGTCAGGTTGAAAAACCTTGGATGCATCAAAGAAGGTAGTTTACAGGTAATAAAGTGATTAAGAGTCAATGAATCTCTAATATGGATTTTAATAAAGACAAAAATGTTTAGGTGTTTTTTCATATATATCCTAGCATCTTTATAAATAGAGTTATCTGATACAATAAAAAATTATTAAATTACTATAGATGGAGTTATAAAATATTATTATTTTGTAGAGATATTATTTAATTAATAAATAATATTTATTAATTTAAAGAATATTGACACTGTAAATTTGTCTAGGGATGAAATCTCAAAGAATTTAAATGAATCACTTGTGAAATGTCATTCATGAATTATTCATGATTAATGACCTCGATCATTGTAATAAAATGAACGTTAATAACCTATTGGATGAGTGAAAATGATACGTGTTCAGAGGTCCAGAGCTTTAAAGAAATTGTGGATACCATTGAAAAAAATAACGTCGATGATAAAGTTAAAGATGATACAACACCTTTGAAATCAATCACGGATAAAGAGATACTTATCATATTTATAACTCTTCACAATTTTATGGTGTAGTTTAAAAGACAATATCAAAACTTTTGGATACCACAAGAAAAGTTAAAAATGAACTTCAACTATATTTAAATTTTAATAAAGATATATTTTTATATAGAAATCTTATGAAAATATATTATCATATTACATTGCCTAAATAAGTCATTTTTTTATTTGTTCAAGTCGAAAAAGGAAAAAAATATTATTTTAAAGAGGTTATTAACCAAATATTAATTTGATGAGGTTTACTATACTTGTTACTGTGGGAGGGATATCATGATCATAATATCACTAATGTGAGGAAAAAATTAGCGGCTAATTTAATTGATTACTTGGATTTTCATTACTCGAATGTAAGAAAAAAAAATTTAACAGGTTAGTCTTTTTCTTTTTTACCAACATTTAATAGGTAGTCCATTCGTTCTTGGATCATTGTTACTCATTATTTTATAATGTATCGTGTTACATTATATTTTATTATATTGTATTGTATGATAGATACAATATTTGGTTTGACTGTATTGTTTATTATTGTTTAATAATATTTTAATTGTTTAGTTTGATGGTATCCTACTATATGAAAATTTATAAATTTACTAAAAAATCCTAATTATTCTATAGTAGGAAGTTTGACCAGATTTAAAGAATTAAAATAAAAGGTAATAGTATTTTAAAATATTATGTAAATATATAATTGGAAAAAAAAAATTAAGTAACAAATGGAACATATCAAATTGGTTATTTTTATAAAATAGGAATTTTCATTATTATTACGTAACAACTAAATTTAACGATGCAATATAATACATTTTAAGTAACAAACAGAACAAACATCATATGTATAGTAAAGATACAATACAATACAATAGATAACAATTATCCTAAATACTGTGTCAATCAACTTAACAAAAATGATGTCTATTAAACAAAATTAATAAGTACAATATATAATTTACTAAATTATAACTACAAAAAATAATTTAAAATGATAATCTTGAAACAAGAAGTAATTTCTATTATTAATAAAAAATTAAAAATTGGGATGAGTACATATACCATATCCGTAAATTATCATCTCTATTACTTTATCCAAAGCTCAGAAGAAACATAAATGGTGGTGTCGGGCAAATTCACTCTGCCCAACAGTGCTTCTTCTTAGCTTGAATCATTTTCTTGACCCGTATAAACAGAGAGAAGAGTCCAATTGAGGTATGTTAAAGATTAGTTTTTTTCGTTTTCTTTCTTCCCCAATTTATGATTCTGTTTTCAATCTTACTACCTGTACTAATAACCACGTTGTTTTTAGGTCAATGTTGCATGCAGTATATGCCCCAAAAAGTTGCAGTATATCGTATTCAAGAATCCCTTGTTATCAAAAGCCTTTAGCCCCAACAAGGCTTAGAGTATCAGCTTCACTTCCAGAGCCTAATGGGGTTAAGGTTGAGTTCACTCCTTGGTTAATTGTTGGATTGGGAAATCCTGGAAACAAGTATCACGGAACTCGACACAATGTAATTTCCCCCCTTTTTCGAAGTTCAATTTTGTGTGTATATGTATTTGCGTGGTGTTTTGAATAATGCATTTTGCTGTTTCTTGATTATGGGGTTTTGTTAATTAGGTTGGTTTCGAGATGATTGATAGAGTTTCTCAAGAGGAGGGTATCGTGTTAAACACAATACAGTCGAAGGCCTTGATAGGGATAGGTGGTTATTCGATTCTGTTTGTTGTAATTTTTGTTCTCCTTACGAATGTTGAGCTTTGACGGGTTCTTTGTGATGGGCTTGGTGCAGGTTCCATTGGGGAGGTACCTGTTGTATTGGCAAAGCCTCAGGCCTACATGAATTTCAGTGGAGAAGCAGTATGTATTCAGCAGCTATTGATGTTTAGTATTTTAGTGTTA